GTGGTTCAAGTCTGAGACTAAGATTGGACCTAGCCCCACCTAGGCTCCATAAGGAGCCTCTTGACTCAGTGGAAGGATCCTCCTGACTCTGCATCTCCTGTCTCTCTGTAAACAATCCTAACTTGGTTCTAAATCAGTTTTCCTTTGCATGTTTCTTTCATGAAGTAATTAATAAGCTGAACCTTGCCATCAAATTTACTGAACCTTGTCAAACCACTGTTAAACTCCATTGAACTTATTGAACTCTTTCATATTGTTATTTCACCTCAATAATACATATTGTTGCTTCTCTCTTTTGAGTGAGGCGCATTCCACTCATCTGTCACATTAGTCTAGTCCCAATCTAGATCACTGGTGTAGATGTGCTAATTGTGCACTCGGTAATTTCACTGGAGCATGGGGGGGAGGCATTAGGTGCTTTTTTTTTTTCCTTTTCATCTCTATGTCATGATTTTATTTAATGTTTCTTTCTTTTCTGAAAATGATGACTACTTCATGGCCGTTCTTTCTTACGGTGCCCATCACATCCACATTCTCAGTCAGATCTTTTGTAGTGGTTGTATTTAAATAGCACATTCCCCTCCAGTTATTTTCTCCTTCTTCTGCAGAGTGCTTCAACAATTTTCCGGAATTTTCTCGGTAGTCTGTGTCCTTCTGTATTGCTTTCTCATCAAAATGATAATTGAAATTTTCCATTAGTATGAAGTTTTTATGCTTTTGATAAGTCCTTTGGTCACCCAGAGAAAGACTCATCTCCATTATCTTCTTTATTTACTTCCTACTGTAGTCCCTTACATGACAGCAATATTGCTTTTACTGAGAAAGGTTTAGTCATTCTAGCCTCTGATAGCCCTTCTGGACTAAAGAATAGGCATACACATCTTTGAAACAGCCTTTTAGTCTTGTCTATCTTTCCTGAACAGGCCATACTTGTCTGTATGAACTATCAAACCAAATCTCTATCATGCCAATTAAGATACGATTTTCAATAGGATTTAAGACATCTTGCCATTCCCGTTTCCTATTCTCTTGCATTACTATGTAATATATTAAATAGTAATATTAAATTATAGTGTGTGTAAATATATATGCTAGTTATCTATTAATATAATGAACAATAGCATATAATGAACATACATTTGTATATACTGAACTAAGATTTCTGCTTACCTCTCTCAATACCACATCAGGAAAAGACTTCTTTCCACACTGGTATTTATACCAACTGCTGTCTTGTATGTGACTCATTGATTTATGTCCTTTCTGCAGCCAGTCCTAGCTGCAGTCTTGCAGGGGAAATCCCAGGGGAACACAGGTTGGCGGGATCTCAGCAGGGCCCCTGTCCCACACCCTGCCCACAGCAGGCTCAGCTGTGCGGTCAGACCCGGCTCCTCAAGGCATTACCCAGCCAGGGCTTGAAAACTCCCCGAGGTGGGATGCAGCACAACTTCCCTGCATCCTGACCCCACTGTTGGGCTGTTCTTGTGGTCAAAAAATCTTCTTCATCTCCAACCTGAGGCTCTGGAGTTTCACTTTATCACCATTGTCTCTCATTCTCTTGCCATGTACTGCTGTGAAAAGCCTGACTCCTTGATGACCTCTGCATTGATAGCAGAGGGCTGTGTCATGGAGGGTTTTCAGGTCCTCCAATTACACATTCAGGCCAACTAACTTAGTTTAGCTGTAGTCTAAGTTTATGGCTAATTTTAGGCTTAAAGGAAAAATTTGAGATTCTCTCTGAAAGAGAGAACAGTTAAGCCACATTAGAAACACCATGGAAGTTCACTTACATACACTTCCATGGCAAAAGGATTATACTGTGAGCAGGACAGGTGCTTTCTTGAAGCCCCAGTTACTGTAATTTAATGAGACTTGAATTTAGAATAGGCACCACAGCTCTGACATTGCTGGAGAATACTTATTAACAGACTCTCTCCTGATTGATAATGATTTTTAGATTCTAATATGGCCTGTGTGGCCTGGCACCCTATATAAACTCAAATCCAGCTCACTGATGAATTTTGAGATGGATGCTGTTGCTTGATTAAATTTTTGGACCAGCTTGGAACCAGAAAAAATGAAAAAGCTTGTGCGTGCTTGAAGGTGGATTGACAAAGCTGTAATTACTGAAGGTCTGCCAAAAGAAGAGTGTGGGAGAGGCAGCAAAAAATTGGAAGGTATTCTTCCTCGTATCAATTTTGGAAAGATTCCCAGGAAATGCAGGGTAGGCTAGAAATCCTTGAAAAGAGGATATGTGGACCTTAAAGGATGAGGTTCCAATCCACAATCCTTGGAATCCCTTTCCAAGATCAGTGTATCTCTTTGAAGACATCTGCACCCTGCACTTCTAAGAGATAATGCAGACAACCATTTGAGGGGATTGACAGGAAGGTGTACCTACACACTCCTCAGTGCTGGGCTAGAAATCATCTAAGTTTCCAAAAGCAAAGCTGAGAGCACTTCTCTTACATCAGGTGGATGAGCTGTCAAAAACTAAACCAAAGTTAAAAGCAAACAAAATTAGACTCACATCTGGCAAACAAGGTCTGACTGGTTGCTGGGCAACTGGAACAGTGCAGAAGACTAGTCCATCTTCCACGACCTAATCAGTTTCTTGAGCTTTCTGATCTAGACATGCATACATGGTTCTCTCTCACGCAGCACTCAATGAGAGTGGAAGGGACCCAGAGACCTAGTGCTGAGGGACTTAAGAGGAATGCTGGCAACGTAGGAAATCTGACAAGGTGTGCAAAGTACCAGATGTCCCTCTGAAGTGGAAGTGCAGCAATACTGCTACAAACCTTAAGAGGTTCTGAAAAGTTGCCTAGTTGTTCAAGTAACCTGGCCCACATTGTTCCTTGTATCAGGGCTGGAAGGATCTGCAGGATGATTCTTCTTGCTCCATAAACCAGCAAGGTGTCCTAGCTGTCATCAGTCCATGGTAGAACACAGCAGCCCCTTACATATGTTACTGAAAAACTCCCAAGACCAACAGCTATCACACTTCAGCAGGACAGCAATGTTGACTCACCTACTGAAGTCTCTGCCTCTTAGGAGCTCTGCACAGAGGGCACAAGGCTGCTGGGACCAACATGGTACTGCACCAGAGCCCTCAGCCCAGTGTTGTGAGCTCAAATGAAAAAAGGGCAGGAGGAAAAAGCACACTGTCACACTGTGTCGCCGCATGGGAAACGCCTCAGGAGAGTCCATACCCTGACACAGAGACAAAAAGATGCAAAACTACAGAGTAGACAGAGAAGTACTTCAACAGTGGCCTTTGGTGCTGAGACCAGTTACTGCTGACCTCAATAACCTCTGCAGTGTCAGAAGCATATTCTTCAAGCAAATTCTTTACACCAGTTGCTGGCACAGGGAGCAACTTCATGCTAGCATTAAATATGCCACTAAAGAATGATACCAGGAGATCTGAAACCATGGTGATCCAGTTCTGGCAGAGAGGCAGGAAGTGTTATCTTACTGCACTTCTCTTTCAGCTTGTCTGGACAAAACAGTTCCTGAAGAGGTACTTCTCAGTGCCAGAAGAGAGGCATCGCTTGCTGGCTGAGATTTCACAGAAACTGCAAGGACCTGGAGAGTCTCAGGTCAAACAGTATGATCCAGAGAAGGTGATCCAAACAAGGCAAAGAGGCACATCTTGCTGGGGCCTGTTTGGCTGGCATACTTTGGAGGGCATTACCCAAAATTTTTCAAAGCACAGAGGCTGGAAGCTGGGTTTTGGTTCTCATCTTGAGTTTCTGTACATGAGAGGGATGTTACCTCACCCAGCAGGGTTAACAGTGATGTGCTTTTGGTACATATCTGGCTTTACACACTTTAAGGTTAAAATATGAGAGTAGGCTGCAGTTGAGGAACTTTCAGCATTGTAAATCAAATATAGGAAAGTTCCAGGAAAAATGTAGATAGTGGGGAGGTTGGGCAGAGGAAAAGAGGCTTGATGCACAGACTAGCAAATTTACTTTCCTTCTTACCTTCTCCACTCAAGAGTGATGAAAATCATCTTACAGTCACTGCAATGGTGGTGTGGAAGAAGGTACCTAATTTCTTGTTAAACTTTATCATTACGATGACAGAAGAGATGGTGCTTTTCAGTTTGAAGATAACAGCATTCATAGCAAATGCCCATTCTGCCCAGTCTCTACTGAATAAAACTGATATGGTTTAAAAAATGAAAAAGGATTGATAGATGCCTAATTGCTGAAATAACAGTAATATCTTAGGAAAAGGAATAAAGCAGCAATGAAATAATTTCACTAAGCAGTAGTTCAATCAAAGAACACTTTTTGAAAGACAATTTGAAGAATGAAGACAAAGGTAACAACTCTAAGCTAAGGGTACAGTCTAAGCTATGATGTATACTCTGAGTCAACTACTGCTACAAAGCTAAGTTACCATAAGCGTCATAAAGATCAGACAAAAAATCCCAAACAAAACCTCAAGTCATCAACATAAGGAAAAAAGCTAGGTAGGTAAAAAGCTTAGAAACTACAAAGATTAAATTAGCTATTTATAAATATAGTAGCAATTAGAAACTTAGAAATACATCTGAAGTAGTGTAGACCAGCATACCCTAAGAACACATGGGAAGAGAGTCTGTAGAATAAAGTTACCTGAAGCACATCCACTCTCATTTAGCAGTAGTAGGAAAGAAATGGGGAAGTAAGGTAAACAAGGAATAATTAGTGCTAATACTTCACCTGCTAACTATTTAAGCCACCAGTGAACATGGAGAAATATTTGGGCTGCAAGTGTTGTATTGTGATAAAACTTCTAGAAAGACAGTATTTCATAGAACAATTCTGCAATTACAAGAAAAACGTTTTCAGAATAATTGGCAAGTTGAGTCAGTGTTGAGTGAAGTTTCAACTGGGAAAATATCCTTTCTCTACAGTTTTGTACCATGAATCTCATTTCAAGAACATTGCTGGATGTTTTTTTCTGTTGACAGAGAAAGAACAATTTGGTAACACTTAGAACTACACTTTAATGAAACATTGAAGTTCTTTTTAAACTGTTAGAAAGATACAGTACATTTGTGATCTAAGTGTAAAGGCTTGACACTGAAAAGACTTAGTAAAAAATATAGATCAAAAGTTACTGAAGCAAAACAAAGTCATTACAATTACACCTGTGGATTTTTTTTTTTTTTTTTAAAGAAAATTAGTAGTGTTTACTGGCAGCTACAGACAAAATAAAATATGGTGAGTTTTCTTCTTCCATGCAGTATTCAGCCAAGTAGCACTGCAACAAACACTGATTTCATGCATAAGTGCAGAGAAGATTTTAAACTCTGCATATAGTACTAATTTCAGCTTTTGTACAGCCCCATTTGCAACACATTCCTGCCAAACCCAGAGACTCCCGTTTTCTTCTGGGATACCTGGCCCAAAGATAACTATTTGATCCCATGTGGTCTGCAATTCCTGTTCCTCCCCTATCAGCAGGAGAGCTGACAGCTTCCTCTACCTGTTGAACAAGTTCTTTGAAGTCATCTGCCACAGGTACATATTCATTATAGTCATTTAAACTATAAAAGTCCTTATACATCTCCCATCCAAGAAACGGGCTGCTTCTCTGCAGCTGCTCCACTTCAGGACTCAAAATTGATTGCAGCTTGACGTTTCCCAGTAGTTTGTTACTTGCTGTTCGTGCAGAATCTGTTTAAAGAGAAAACTAAGTTCAGACTGTAGGAGTATCAGGAGGAGCACATAGCTCCAAGAAATAGCAATAAAAACCATTCAGTAATAAGCAAAGCACTGTTATTTAGGAGAACTGTAAGTACTGCAGAGTCGTCACTCCATGATTTCCTTATAGCTTACTTTCAGGGGAATCTTCATGTTGTAAAGACTATGCTGCCTGCTCAACATGGACAGTACACACATACAATTGTGGCTGAGGTACAGATATCACAGCTGCAGTGTTACTGATCTAGAATTCCCAATATTTCCACAGAAACAAAATTTTGTTGTAAAGACATGTATGCAGAAACCACACTGAGGTATGTCATGTGGCTCCTGAATTAGATTAGACCACTCCTCTCCCATGCACAGTCATACAAACTAGCATCATACAAAGAACAAATGTAAGGAGGGCTAAATATTGGACTAAATAAGCAAATATTGTACGTAAACAGCTTCCGATATAGCTATGGAAAAATACAATCCTTTTAGCTAATGCTTTCCTCTCATTTCTGAAGGCATAGCAGAGGCTTGCAAAATTTACTCAGAAACACACACTGACTGAAGTGTTCTCAAAAATCCAGCTCTGCTTCCGTTCACCTCATAGGATTTCCCTTGGTTTTACTTCTGCAAGACAAGTGGCATTGCTTACTTCAGCTAATGTTAAGCAAAGCAGCTCCTTTAATTCTTAACTTAAAGTTAAAAGAATACAAAATGTTTGTCTTGTGGTCTTAATGTTGTTAATATGGTTTTTGTTCTAGAAAACTGAAAGAACACGAGAACATCCTGCGAATATTATATTTACTTTAACATGGCTAATTAATATATAGAAGCTAACTTTCAGATAGAACACCTGCCTGAATACATACAAAAATAGAAGCGGTTGTAGCTACTCTTTACTAATTAGATAGTAACTTGTTTAGTACTCTCTTGAGGTAGGGAAGACTTAGTTAGACAGCATGCAGCACAGTGGGGGTTCCTTAGTGACTGGTGCTCTCAAATGGCACTGTTAATAAAAATGAAAACAAAAGTTTGCTGGGAAAGAACACAGTCCAAACAGAGGCTGTACGTACGTAATTTGTTATAATTACAAAGGTAATTTTTAACTTCCACTTAACCTGTTGGAAAAAAAACGCCAAAACACCAAGCAAAAAACTCCCAAGGAACTCAAGATACTGGCTTCATCAATTGACTTGGGTCCAATGTTGTTTCATTAACAACACGTTTCAGCAAGAAAAAAGCTGCTTTTCCATTACACATTTTAGCCATAATTCCAACTTTTGTCCTTGCTAAAAACGCAATTTTCACTATGCAAAATATCAACATGAGAGTCATCACTTAAAATTACTGTTACGCTACTATAGTTTGAGAATACAGCCCAAACCCCATCTTCTTGCGCTTCCTTAATATATTGGAGTTGGAGCACGTGACAGTAAAATTCTCTGACGAATATTTTACCTATTAACACCAGAGATCCCTAAAGCCGTTCTTGTTGCTTAAATCGTAACCAGAGTGCCATCCATCCTCCAACGTGCCAACTCTTTTGTACAGAGCAATCACAAGCAAATGATAAAAAACCCGAACGATTCCACATCCTACGATGCCCCTAGCACAGCCGAGGAAGACGAGGAGCACAGCTTCAGAAGCTCCTGGCGGAGCAGGAAAACCGAAGCAGGTCTCCCCAGCCCGCAGAGTTACCGAGCTTCGGGAAGGGAGCGAAGCCGTAGCGAGAGGCACTGCCCTACCGCTTCCACGGGCGCATCACATCTCCCTGCACGGCCAAGAAGAAAACTGCGCGATTTTTTTTTTTTGGTGGGTTTTTTAAACAGAGTTCGGCGAGCCTCGGCCGCCGACAAGGCTGCTCAGCCCGGTGCCGAGCTATGCCTCTGAGAGGGCCAAAAACTTTGTGGGCCGTCCCGGCTGGTAACGCTCCAGCGGCTGCCGTGTCGCCTCCTCTTAAGTTGGCGGGTTCCCGTGCAGAAGTCACGGGAAAGGCCGACCGGCGCCGGGAAC